GCTGCCTGGCTTATGCATGAACATGAGGTGAATTTTGGCCAAGTGGATTTGGGACATCTATATATGGAGGTAAACTCTTTAAAAAGCATTTAGCCTGAAGAAAAACAGCCTTTTTCTAAGTCCAGTCAAACCTGTGTAAGGATGTGAATCTTGGGGATGCTGATAATATCTTGGGATGATGCAGAAACAAGCTGGAAGACAAACATCAACAAGCTGAGGATGGCAGAGAAAGAACAAAAGAAACTTGGTCCATGATGATGTGGTTAAGCACATGAATTAACCCAGGAATTGCCTTTCTCCTTCTTCCCCCTAGGCATTTTGGTGATGTAAAGAACTCATCATTGTTTAATACCTTTAGTTTTTTTTTTATTTGTTACACGCAGCTGACAGCATTAGACTAGGGTACTAATGATTAGGGTGACAGCCTTTGGGAAATGATAAAAGAGGAAACTGGTAGCTATTGAAGGCATTTGATCATTTGGATGATACGAAACAACGTTCAAGGCTTAAAAATGGCATCCATGAAAAACAGATTGAAAGAAAGGAAAGGCAGAGTCAAGCAGACCATCTTAAAAAGCCTGAAAGTCAAAGTTACCAAAAGATTTTAGAAATATTAGAGAACTACTATTAGCATGTAAAATCATTAATGCATATATATAAATATTTGAAGCAGACACAACTGCAGCAACAGTTCATTTTGTAAGGATGGTAGGATTGTTTGCAATGTTTCTTTTTTGATTTCTTATCTTGTTCGCATATGCAATTATTTCTACTTAAAATCTGAACATATTAAAGAAAGTATAATTTCTCCAAACATAGCATACTAGATATCTTTTGCAAATGAAAAAAATTCCTAAAATATGACTTCTCAACATTAGTTGCAATTAAAGGTATGAGCAGACACTGTGAAGTAATCTGGTAAATGAGAAAACATGCAGGACTAGCTGGGTAACCTTACTTGACTTGTCAAGTAAGCCCTGCAACATTATTTTCTTCTCAGGGTAGACTGATCTATGGCCCTAAAATTCAATAAACTTCTGTTTTAAAACAGAATATATTTTGAGCTGAGTCTGAAAGAAAATAAGTCAATCTTTCTCAGATTCTCTGAGCAAATCATAAGCACTGGGAAATAATTATATTACAGAGCTTTAATATAACTTTCAAAACAAAAGTTTCTATAAAGATTTTTCAATGAACAAACAAAGTAGTTCTGGAAATTTTAATGTGGACTAAAGTTCTATGTTAATATCAAGTAGGTATCAAGTGATAGCTTATTATTATTTTTAACTTACATTTCTAAACAGCTAAGCATTTATAATATTTATTGACCATTTGGAATAGTGATTCTGTGAATGGCTAGTCCTAGTGTTTGCAAGATATTTTAAAATTATGTTTTACAAAATATTTTATTACCGTTTTGTAAGAGTTCCTTATGTGCCACATATGGTAATCTTTTATCTGCATACATAGAGATGTTTTTTCCCAATCTGTCATTTGTCTATGGTATTTATGGTTCTTTTTTGCTTTACAAAAATATTTTAGAATTGTGTAATCAGATATATCTATCTTTTACTATATAGTTCTGGTTTCTGCTTACCCTAAATAAATGCCCTGCAATGAAGTAATGGCTGTTTAACTGTGCAATATTTTTATAGACTATTATGTAGGAATTAAAAAGAATAAATATAAGATATACCAGATAACTTTGTATTTTATTAAGTGAAAAAGAAAGATGAGTTTTTATATATGTGCATATATATGTTTAACATTTTGGTGGCAATATTTATAAGGTTACATGATCATGGAAAAAGTTGTAACAACACAAATAGCAGATCAGTGACATTGTTGGCATAAAAAGAAAGGGTGAAGGGAAAAATAGCCCCCTGATTTTTTTAAAAGTGACTACAGTTTTTAAAAAAACATAATATGATCCCACTTAAGTAAAATTATTTATGTTGGTGAATATATATACATATGCATAGAGATGCATAAAAGAATGGCCACCAAAATGTTAATGATGTTTAACTTAGGATGATATGATTTCAAGAAGGGAAGAGGAAGAAGAAAGAAAAAAGAAAACAGGAAAAAAAATGAAATAGATTTAAATTTGCCCTTTCCAAAAAACAGAACAGACTGTCAGGAAGGGGTGGCAGAACTCTCAGGTAAAAATATTCCCCCATCCTCTGATGTGGGTACAAGTTATGATAATGGTCTTACAGTTCCTTAAATACTCCCATAAAGATATATACATATATAAATATATTAAAAAGCTTACTATAAGTAGTGTCTATTTAATTGGTTTACAAGTACAGAAAGTAAATGAGACATTATACCAACTACATCTTCTCTTCACATTGTAACATGTATAGGCAGAGGTAACAACTTTATACCCATCTGCTTTATAAAAACTGAATGTACAGAATAAATGTGAAGAGTAGTTCTAAGACTTTTGTGTCCATAAAAACCACCTGGGAAGATTGTTAAAATGCACATTCCAGGGTCCCACCCCAGAAATTCTTATTAGTAGCTCTAGCAACCAATAATCTGTACTTAATAAGCACCCCAGGCAAATGTGGCAGGAATTGACAGATCATGCTGAAAAACAGTAAATTTCAGGATGTTTGATCTCTTTACAAACTGATCACCTAAAGAATTCAAGGAGTGTGGTACACTAGAAAGAACAAAGAATTTGAAGTAAAAAGATCTATTAATAGATTACCACTCTGACCTAATCCCCCACTCACTCCCTCACTTGCCTCTCCTCTTCAGCTCACTGGTCTCCTAGTTACCCCTGTAACCACAGGCTAGAACCCTTTCCCCTAACTTTGCAAAGGCTCAGTCTCTTGCCACGTTCAGGTCGTCTCTCAGGTGTCACTTCTCAATGCAAAAAAAATCACAATCCCATCTCACTTTCTATCTTCCCTTTCTGCTTTGTTTTCCTCTCTAGCACTTCTCACTATCTAAAAGACAATCTGTTTTACTCTTTTCTTTTGTTTATTGTCTGATTCCCAAGAGGACAGAGATATTTGTCACTTTTCTTCACTGCAGCATCCCCAGTACCTAGAACAGTACCTAGACCGAGTTCAGGGAGATTTTTAACTTGGCTAAAATAAAACAGATGACACTTGAGTGATTCAGTGATAGGAGGCAGAAATGGCTAATAAGTGCACAGGTTGTTAATATACCAATTCCTGGGCCCTGCCAGAGATTCTGATTCAGTAGACTTGGGGAGGGGCTTGAGACTGTGAATTTCTAACAAGAACCCAGCTGATACTGATGCAGTTTAGAGAGCTCTCAAGTGCCTCTGCTCATTTCTTAATGAAAGTCATCCTATACTACTGTGAGAAGAGCTGTAGGCTGAGAAGGGAAAGCTCTGTCATACTCATGTGCATTTTTAAGAGGAGAAAAATTGATCCCCAAACCTCTTGTACCTAAGCTATCCACCCAAATAAGTAAAATGATTCTATAACAGAAATACTTTCACAACACGTTTAACATTATTTTCATAGGTATTTACTATAACTCAATTTTTAAGATGGTGTTTCTAATTTTTTACTCTTATAAATAACATTTCAGGTGGTATTTTTGTTATATACTTTTGTGCATCTAATTATTTCTTTTTAACAAATTCCTAGAAGAGAAATTTCTGAGGGAGTTTCTATCAAAATTCTCCAACAGAACTTTCTCCAATGATGGAAATCTTCTATATCTAAACAACTCACATGGTAGTTACCAGCCACATGCAGCTATTAAGCACCTGAAATGTGACTAGAGCAACTAAGAAACTGAATCTTTGGTTGTATATACTGTTAATTAATTTACATTTAAATAGCTACATGTGGCTAGGGGCTACCATCCTGGACAGGGCAGGTATTTAAAGTCTTGATACATAATGCCAAATTACTCTCCAGAAAATCTGTAATTATTTGCTATCGCCCTTAAAATGAGAATAACTATTTCTTTAGCCAATTGCCAACACTAGATTTTATCAATCTATTGAATCTTTATAATCTGAACACTAAAAGGATTGTTAAAATGCAGACTGGTAGGCCTCATCCCCAGAGTTTCTGATTCAACACGTTAGGGTAGGCCCCAAGAATTTGCATTTAACTCCAAGCTTCAAGTGCAACTCCACACTGAGATGAGGTTTTTCTCAAAGATATGGACACTCTGAGAAGGCTAATGACAATATGTAATTTTGACAACATGAATTTGTAGATCCTTCTTTCTAAAATATTTCCACACTTATTATTTCACTTTATCTTCACAACAATCCTATGCAGAAGGTTGGTAATTAGGGTAGAAACTGTTAATCCCATTTTACAGAAGAAAAGTAAGGCACAGGAGTTAAGAAACTCCCCTAAGCACACAAGCAGTGAGATGAGCCAGAACAAGCAGGTTTCCCAACTCCTAACCTTGGTAATACACAGTATTACCAAACAAACACAGTAATACAGGACACAACTGGAACTTGCTTCTGCAGACCGATACCGTAAAAAACAGAACCATGACCAGGGACAGAGAAGACAATACAAGATATGGTTCATAGCAACAAACATTTATCAAGTGCTGATTATGTGTTAATCTATGCTATGTTAATCCAGCTATCATGGCTGGAGTCTCCATCGTAGGGACTACTGAAGATACTCATAGAACATAGGATAAAATAAAAATAAAACCTGAAACCACAACCTTGAAAAGATAGTGAATTCTCTATATCATAAGGCAGAACAAAAGCAAACATGCTGAAGGGGTGGGTGGTAGGGATAAACACGGAGTTGGGTAAAAGAGAGGAGTCACTATGGGACTTCACATCTGGACTTGAGGGAGTTGCTATCACCAGTCAGTCAAGAATGGGAGGGAAGAGAGAGTACACAATAGGGAGCCCTCCTGGGGCTCAACAGCACAAAGAGCTGCTGTTATCCTTGTTGGGTGTGTGTTTGCCAGAAATATCAGGGCTGTTAGAACTCCAGAACTTACTTTTGTGTAGTCTAAATTACCTTGACTATGTAAGAACTCCAGTCAGAGAGCATAGCTTCATTATCCATTTGTAGCCAAAAGATAACATGATTCAAGATCATACATTTTCTCTCTCCAATTTTTCCTCAAGTTTTGAGAAGCAGTCCTAGTAGAAATCCATCAAATTGTGATGACAATACTACTATTTATAAATCAGCCCTTCAAGGAAAAGAAGATTGTATTTTCACTTAAATAGGCTTTACATATGATATTAGTTATTAATTTTAACAGCTACTTTTCTAAGGTTTAAGATAATAATAGTAATAGCTTATAAATATTAGTATAGCCTGAAAATACAATAAAACTACAATTCAAAAAAAGCCTATTGGAAAATTGGGTTCCATCTTCACTAGCATTCTAACTGACCTCTGTTATATATTCATCTTATAGTCCAGCTCAAAATGACTAAAGCAATGAAGCTTCCACCACTTCATTTAGAAAATTATAGAATACTGCTGAGAAAACTATCCCTCACTTTGTACAAGACCAAACATATCCAAATCAAAACAAAGGGATACAATTTCACACTGATCAAATTCGTAACAATAATGTTTTAGAATAACATAAGCACACACATAGATTGTTAATGACAGTATAAATGTATATAATCCTTTTAGAAAGTAATTTGGAAACTAACAGAAATCTGGAAATTTCCTAATAAGAATAATAGCTACAATGTGTTTCACGTCGTTGCTTTTTATCTTAACAACTTCATAGAGAGCTATTACTATACCCATTCTACAGATTAATAAAGTTCTGAGTAAATAAGTTACTTGCCCAATAATTGCCAATAAGTGATGGTGATGAAGCTAGGTTTGAACCCAGAACCTCTCATTTTAAAGCCGACCTATTTGCAACTACACTATACTACCTCTCCTGAGGAAGTCAAAAAAGAAAAGAAAAAGAATAAAGTTACATTCATGAAGATGGGCATTATATTTTTTTTTAAATACTGGAAAACTCAAAATAGGAAGGTTAAGTAAATGATGAGACACCCATTGTATAAACAATTACAAAATTACTATAAGTAACAGTAAACTATTGAAAAATGTTTATAAAAAATCAGTAAAAATGTATCTCCAATATGATAAGACATCTGCAAAAATATACATTCATATAGCAAGATTGGGAAGAGAGCTGGAAAAAACCAAACTATTGCCATTGTGAAGAATTTCACTACTGGTACTTAATGTTTTTGTTGTTTATCAGTTTTTTCAGTCAATCAAGATTACTCTGAGCAACCTTACAAATCTATTATGCTAGTTCATCCCAATCAAATAATTCCTAAAACTTTACTATAATTTATATCATAGATTTATTCAAAATAATTACATATTTTTATCCGTGTTTCAGAAGCTTCCAGTATGTATCTTAACATCAATGATTTTTGCAATTATGATGTACAGTGTACTTGTGAAATCCCTTAATTTAGATCATACATAACAAAAATTAGCTAATTCGTTTTACTTTCATAACTTTGCAATCACAACTTTGCAATCACTCCTCAACTCCAGTGTCCACCCAGGGATCATCAGCCTAAAGGTTGTAGGTGTTTTAAAGATTAGTTTCCTAAGAGCATGATCTCTAAGTGAATACTTATAAAGTAACTAAAATATCTTAACTGTAAGGAATATGTCAAGTCTCTTTGAAGTAAATGAACTTTATTTTTACTTTACCAAAAAGAAAAGTAAGGATTTGGTAAGAGTAATTTCCCTAAAAACGGCAGTGTGAGCTGTGAAGAGAATTCACTCTTTAGCCACACAAGGTGGCACGAAGAGGCCCATTCAGCCCAGGGTTTGGCTTCTCTCAGCAACATAAACAGACATTCATTTTATGGGAAAGTTAAAGTAGCTGTTCTCCAATGATATCAAACTCATAAGAGCAGGAATGTAGTTTAAACATCTCTAAACTCCTCTTTATGAATCTGCCACTCAGGAATCTTTTTGGTCACCCCACTGTCTAATATCCAACTGGGTTATTCTTAGCCAGTCTTAAGACACCTATAAAACTACTATTTTAATTACAGAATTTTGGAGTTAGAAGGACTCTTAAGAACCATTCAATTTAAGTATTAACTGAGGGGAAAATAAAGGCTTTTCCAAGAAAGTTACTTTGTGTGGCTACTTTATGGCAAATCTAGGCCTGAAACTAAGAGATGCAACCAAATGTTTTAAACCTGGACTCCATATTTCTCCCTTACTGCTAACATTTTTCATTACCTCATGTCAATGGGAGCATACATATGTCCTTTCAATGTTTTCAGACACACACTGCAGTAGACAAAGAAAACTATAGTACTCATTCTCTTCTTCATAAAGAGTTCCAAAATGGAGGAAAAAATCAACAAACGTTATAAAAAACCTGTGTGGAGAAACTGGTATATGTGTGGGAGGGAATAATAGTTTAATAGTTCTGCTTTCCACTAAATGCTTGTTTTAAGATTTTTAGCAGTCTAACTGATCTTCAAGGTAATAATTGTCCACCTTAGGCCAAATAAAAGATTCTAATGTCATCACGAGTGGATATCAAACTATTGTCATCAGCACTAATACATGGTTCAGTCTTATATTCAATTCATTTCATCATTTCTATAGTGTAATTTCATTGTAATAGGAGATTTATGGTAGGATATACAGGAAATTTACAAGAGTGGTTGCTTCTGGAGGGGAGAACACGACATGGGAGTATGGGATTGGGGAGAGGGGACTTAACACTGTATACGCCTCACTGTTACTTGAAATTTTTACCCTACCATATTCCTTTTCAATATACATTAATTAAAATTTCCCTTTTAAATACATACCCATATGCATGTAATTTTATTACTAAATATTTTCAATGAAACAATTATCTTAGTTCCCTTCTCTTTTAAACAAGTCTTCAGTATTGCAATTTGTAAAATCTCGTAGAAATTTTCAGAAAGAGGACCAACCCAGCCACAAATCCCAAAGCAGAATTCCAGGATTTAAAGTATAAGAACATGTTACAGGGGAACGAGAGGTTCTTAAGGGAGCGTTAAGTTCAAAAACCTTTTGAGGAAAAGCTCTTCCCCATCTTTAAATGGCTAGTTTTAAAAATGGGATTTGAACAAAGCTTCTCGTCTCAAGGGGGAAGGAGGGGTGCCTTATGGTGCGACAGTAGAAATTAAAATGTGGTTTCTGTCTTCTCAGCCGGCGACCGAGGGTCAGAGAGGGTTGGCTAAGGACCTGGGAACGGGCTCGGCCACAGAAGAAAGGGGCAAGACCGGGAGTCTCTCGGGTCCGTCCGCTTCGGCGAGAGGCAGCGGCTGTTCCCGCGCGGCGGCGGCGCGTTCTGGGACGCCCCCGGGCTCGGCGCCACCGAGACCCACGCACCGAGTCTCCGCGGGCGACTTCCCCGTGCGGAGGTCGCACGGGGGCTGCGGGGACCGCCCCACTTCAACAGACCGCCTCATCACGCCTCCCCCGTGCAAGGCGCGCCTCGCCTCGCCGTCCACTTGTGTCAGGGGCAGCTGTCAACACGAGCCTTTGTGTCTCATTCTGAACAAAAAATGGTCCTCGGCCACTCGCGGGAACATGGAAGCGCTGGCCGGAGACACGCGCGCCCGCTCGTGACCAAGTGACATTCGGTGTGGCGGAAGGAAAGCCGGGGACGCCGAGCGAGCGAGCGCTCGGCCACGTCTGAGCGCTCTCAACTTTCCCAAGCTGAGCTCTGTCCATCCTCCCCGCGTCCCCTCCGCGTCCCCGTCCCGCCCGCCCGCCAGCCCCAGCGACGCCTGCCGCCCCTGGGCCCCCGGGGACGGTCGGGGCGCGCCCCTCGCCGCCGGCCTCTGCGCTCCCGCGCCGCCCCTCACGCCCGCCCGGGCTGCCCCGCTCCCGCCACAAAGGCAGCGAGCAGAACCCGGGGTGACAGGCCTTTGGCCTCCGGCGCGGAGAGCACGGGCTGGGTCCCTTCGGGGCGGGAAGAGAGCGGCTCCGGAGCCCGGGCTGGCACGCGCGCCTGGCCTCGCCGCACGGACGCACCCGCGCGCGCGCCCCGCTCCGCCTTCCCGCTCCTCCCCAAAGTCCGCCGCGCCTTCCCGGCGCAGGCAGGGCGTCCAGCCCGCCACAGGCAGCGCCTGCCCGGCGGAGGCGTGCGCCCGCTCCCCGCCCGCGCCCGCGCCCGCGCCCGCGCCCCGGAGTCCCGCAGCCGCTCACCTGGCCCCGGCGGGGCGCGAGGGCGGAGGACCAGGGCTGGCCCTCGCCTCGGCCGGGCTGGTCTCCCCACCCCCAGGCCGGTTCCCAGGGCTGCGCTCCGCTCGCTCCGGCCGCCCGCCTCCGAGGTGCTAGCGCCGCCGGCGGCTGCCTCTCTGTGGCAGGCTGGCGGGCCGCGCGCTCAGTTCCCCGGGGCGGAGCGAGGCGGCGGCCGCCGCGGCCGGAGGCGGATTCCTCAGGTGCTGCCCCTCCCGCCCGCCCGGCAGCTCCGCGGCGGGGATCCCGCGCCGCCTCCCGCGGCCCCGCCTCTCCCCCCTGCTGCCGCCGCGTCCGCGAGTGGCCCCGAGGGCCCCGGCCCTCCGCGAGTGCGGTGGGCGCGCGGTTCCCTACCCACCCCTTGCAAAGACGCCTCCGCACTGTGGAGCCCTGCGTGCACTGTCCTCACGCCTCCATTTCCAAACTCCAGCAAACAGATGTGTGCGGTCATCGTGCGGTGCGGGCGCCGGGGTGCGCCGGGGGTCTTCTGGGAAGGAAGGCCCCCTAGGGCCGCTGACGGGGGCAGCCGGGAAGAAAAACGGTTTTCCCGCCGAGCCCGCGTCCATGCACAGAGTGCTCTCGCCTCACTGCACGATTGCTTTCTCTGCTCGCTGGACGGCGGCTGAAGAGCCCTAAGCATGAACTCGGCCTGGGCGATGGTGGGTCAAAAACCCTTGGCCTTTTGCAGGAAGGGGGTAGGGCAGGAGCAGGGGCAGGGCGCGGACAAAACCAAATAAGCGCCAGAGCACCGGGCCAGAGCAGACTTTTTGCACCTCCCAGATGAGCAAGGGCCCCGGCCCGGGGCTCAGGGACGCGGCCGGCCTGGCTTGGCTCAGCGGGAGCCTCCCCGGACCGCAGTGGGAGCTCCGGCCCGGGCCTTGGCGGGTGCTGCAGGGCCAGTGTTCTCTATAGATGCTGCGCCCGATAGTGACAGATTTGCCTCCACTTTTCACAGCTGGCGGCTGTCGTATTATTAAAAGTGTAGCTCCTCCATTTCTTTAAACTGTAAATTGTTGCCACAGGTACACAACTACACCTTCTGGAAAAAGAAGCTCCACGCTGGATGTGGTGGAAGAATCTAGGTAGAGGAGAGGTGATCTATTTTTACTGCCTTTGGGGGCAGTGTAGCCCCAGAGAGCTCAGCATCTTCTTGGGAGTGGGGGAGGCTAGCGGCGCCCAGTCCCGGGTGGATTGGGCTCCTTGTCAAGTGTTACTGTAATAATTGAAAATAGTAGTTTATAGACAGTGTCAATTAAATTGGATCTCAGATGCTAAATCAGTATTTTTGTTTGTTTCTCCTGCTTTCTTCTTCTTCTCCTCCTTCTTCTTGTTCTTCTCCTTCTTCTTCTTTTCCAGAACCGAAATACGTTTTTCTTTCTTTTCTCTTCTGGTCGATGCAGAGGGAATTAACTGGAAATCTGGAATCACCAGAAAATAACTCAAGGCACAGTTCAGATGTGACTAGCAAAAGTGAGTGATTCATGCACGGTTTGTCTTCTCTCCCTCCTCTACTGGGAAGACATACTCAGCTGGCATTTTTATTTTTTTAAATCATGTTTTGCTCCTTGTGAGGTTAAGGAGCTGAAATGTTTTTGTTGTTGTTTTACAATTAAATTCCCATTGTTGGGCCTTTAAAAACACATGGGAACGTTTTTAAGTGGCCTGAACGTGGAAAAACTACTTTCTCAATCACTGCTGTACTCCCACAGTTCCGGGTCATGCATACAACGTGGGCTTAGTAAATAAAATCAGTATTTTAAAAAAATAACTACAACATAGAAAGGTGCAGATTATTATTAGCTAAAAAGAATCCAATGTCACTCAGCAAACTCATCATGAGAACTGGCCACATATGTGGAAAAGATGCTAAGCACTTTAGAAACCTGAGCTTTAAGGTTCACCTGGTGAATATAAACCAAGATCATAAGAAGTTAAAGCAGGTGAGAATCTTTTGAAAAACCCAATTCTTCTTGAGGTCTGTAGAGTTGCAGGGGAAAGAGACAGATAAGGAAACTGCAAACACTGAGCAGCCTTAAAGTAAAATCAAGTGCAGCTTTCTCTCAGTTTAGTTCAAATACCATTTGTTGAGTGCCAAGCACACTAGACTCTAGAGATGTGAAGGCAAACATGGCACAGTCACTCAAGGACCTTAGTGTAATATTACAGGACTGTGGTATTCATTCTTCATCCATTCAATAAAAATGTGTTAAGCACCCATGTGAATCAGATAGCATAGTCCACCACTGGTATTGGTGATTCATCAGTAAACAAGGCAAGTCCCTAACAAAGTTAAAAGTTAGAGTGATCTATTGACATTCTGGTAGGTTGAAATAGTTCAATGTCACCTTTATCAGATAACATACTCTCTTGTCCTGAATTTGTGTAAATGCCTTATGCCTCCTTTGGGCTTTGTATATCCCTCCTCAGACTTCCGTGATTGTTAAAGATGATAGAGTTAAAAGTGAACAACCTGATAGTTTTGAACCCTAGCACCAAGACTTAACCTACTGTGTAAGCTTAACCAAGCTACTTGACTCCAGCCTAATAGTATATACTTCAGGGAGTGGATATGTGGATTGAGAGGATGCATTCATTAGTGCCTGGAACACCATTACACGTTAACTGCTATTATTACCTGTGAATCCATCCACTCAGCCCTATAACAATGATTCCCAAATACTTCTACATAGATATGCTGCATGAAAACCCCAAATGCAGTGAAAAATGTGAGACTCACAGCAGAGCCCATATAAATGATAGAATCCTTCTGAGTGTTTATTGTGATGCTTTATTATTATCCTTTGCTTTAGCAATGGGGAAATTTCTATGATTGTATCCTGGTTGTGCTCTCACGAACATCCTTTTGCCCTTGGCTCCACACTCCAGTGTGAGCAACAAAGGCAAAACTAGATAAATTGACTCATAAAATTAAAAACTTTTGTATATCAAAGAATGATATCAAGAAAGTGAAAAAACAACCCACAATATGAGAGAAAATATTGCAAATCACATATATGGTAAAAAAAAAAAAATCTATTAGCCAGAATATATAAAGAGCATTCACAACTCAAAAATAAAGAGACAATACAAATGAAAAATGGACAAATAGTTTTAATAGATATTTCTCCAGAAAAGGTACAGAAATGGCCGGCCAATAAGCGCATGAAAAAATGCTAAAATCATTAGCCACTAGGAAAATGCAAATCAAAACCACAATGAGATACCACTTCACACTCATTACAATGGTTATTATCAAAACACAAAACAAACAAAACAGTGCTGGAGATAAGAGTTGGAGCCCTCATCAAACTGTACTTGAAACTTGCCTCAGAACTATTATCTCAGTTAAATGAGCCCAAATTCTACTTACTATTAAGCTTCTTTGTAATGTGTTTGATGTTACTTGCAATTAATTAAAAGACTCAATAAAGAGGAAGATAAAACATACAAAAAATACTGAAGAGCAAAAACCTAGTAAAAGCTAAGTAATTATTGATAATGTTTTTATACAATCTAAATGTTAAGACAGGGTTCACATTAAGAAAAAGCAAAAATTAAAATATCAAAAATAATCTAAAATTAAAATTCCAGTTTATTTCAACAAATGTGGGAGGTATGGGCTCTTAGAGAATTTTAACAGTTAAAAGTCTCATCATGTTTGGGGGAGGGCACAATGGGAAATAAGGAATAGATACCCTTTTTTTCTTGGTATTTATAAGCATTTATCAGTTCAATTTTTTTAATTTAAAGATAATAACTACAATTGGTTGTAGTTATTGGTTATAGAACCAGTTGGTTGTAGAACTTTCAAATAACTTGAGGAGAAAAAAATACAAAGAAAACTACCAATACCACAAAAGTCAGGAAAAGATGGAAAAATAAAGCATAACAAAGAGAAAACATAACTTAAGGTGTATGAATACCTTCTTAGCATTAACAACAATAAATCAAGTGAGTTAAATTTCCCTATTGAAAGACAAAAATCCCTCAGAGTCAAAAAACAAAGAAAATACAACTATATTCTTCTGAATAATATCTGAAATAAAATGACACAGGAAGATTGAAAATAAACAAATGACCAATAAAG